ATCGTTTTTTTGAGCTTTTACCGGGTAACACATCGATTAATTCGGAAGTCCATTGTCATCAGCTGGACAAACTGAATGATGCACTTCAACAGAAAAGGCCAGAACTAATCAACAGGAAAGGTGTAGTGTTTCACCAAGACAACGCGAGACCTCACACAAGTTTGGTCAATCGCCAAAAAGCTTTTACAACTTGAATGGGACACAATGCCACACCCACCATATTCTGTGTGTTTTTGTATTTATTGTGTACAATCGACTTCCCATATATCAATATACCATTTGTGCTGCTCTTCTGACAGTAAAAAAAAAACAACAGGAGCGGTGAGGAGTTAATTGCAATTGACAACTGAATTTGTATTGGCACGGGCAGAAATAAGACGCAGTAATAGTACAATACTTCCATGCGATTTTCGTTGGAAGGAGCATTTGAGGAAGAAGCGATAATCAATAAACTCTTATTATAAGGCTTAACAAAATGCGTGTCCTCATCGGCAGGCACTCAACAATGTGAATACAAAACAAACTCTTCTCACATAATCAATTGCAAAAACCCATCTGAACAAAACAAACTCTTACGACTAAAAGTTAATTCTCCATTTTACTGTATCACGATCTTGATATACCAACCGTTACTAATGAAGCATAACAGAAACTTTCACGTCACATTCATGTTCAAACATTACATCGCCGGAAGTCGATGCACATTTCGAATAAATAAATGAGTAAGTAAGTATATAAAAAGATGAATATAATTTTAAAACGTTCTTTGAGAGAGAGAAAAATAAGCAATTTCTTAACGAAGAAGAAAGAGGACAATATCTTGAAATCGGGGAACGCCAAACACTAAAGCAAAGTGGTAGGTGACGCTACAAGTAGAAGGAGTAACGGTGCTTGATTGCAAAGTGGGAAAGGTTGTGTGTGGGTGGTACTTAAATAAATCAAATGTATGAAACTATCACAAAACAAAAAAAAGAAAGTACTTTCTAACTGCTACTGTGTGTGAAACAATGTGACGTCATATATTTTTAAAACTGCTTTCCATAAAGTAAGGATAACACATCTAATTTTCTAACATCTAAAGTTTTGAAAGAGAAGTTAACGAAAACTAGTAAACTACAACAACAAAAATTCTTTTTATATTATTTTAATTAATTGAATTTATATATTTATCTTATATTTAATTATTTGTAAATAATTTTTTTTTGGAGACTACAAGTACCAAGAGTTGAACTCGTAGTCTGCTAAATTTGAAGCTCAAGTAAGTGTTTATTAGCCAACTAAACCAAAGCCGTACTTGTTCGAAAGTTTTTTGACAAATTCGCTTGTTGTGTTATATTAGAACGAAATCATAAACCAGCTACAGAATAATTGAATCAATTAATTATATTTATATTTTTATATAATTTTTATATAGTTATAGTTCAATAATCATTATTTCTCTAGTAGTCTATATTATTATAAACAGTCTAGAAGTAATACAGGAGAAATCTATCGCCTAAGTTACTACACGATTCATACAAACAACTATTCTATTATTTTTAAAAATATAGTTTAATATTTATTATCACAGTACCATAAAAAACTATTGTATTTGATACAGAGGCTTTCAATATTAAAGTTTTATTTAACTAACAATAATAATTATAAAGTAAAACTTCCTGTATTCTTCTGAATACTGATAATAAATTTTATAATGAATTACCTTAACGTTGAAGCTGCAGACACAACTAACAATTCTGCAGAACATAACAAACTACCAACATACTTAATATAATTTTGGTGCATTATCATAATGAAATTAGCCTGCAAAAAATAATAAACCAGGGCAATTAATTGAAGCACAGAACAATTGGAAATTACCAAAAAAAAAGAAAATAAAATATATAAACGTGATATTCAGATTTTTAGTACCTATTTTTTAAATGTTTTTAAAACACTCTTTAAGGGAAGAAAACAGATCACTTTTTGAAGAAAAATTTTTGAAATTGAAAAACACCAAAAACGGTAGTCGTGAGCCACTAACCAACCACTAAATTATAACACAAGCGCTTAAAAGTATACTTCGAAAATGTTAATTTAAAATAATTTTTTTAAGTATTTATTATTTTTCTTCTAAATTATTTAAGATTATTCCACAAATATGCAGCGAAATAGAAAACAATATATTGCAAGAAACACGCTGATATATGCTATCATTTAATATAAATGTTTTATTATTTGCATAGTGGAAAATTATTCAAAACTATTCCGCCGATCAAAGCAAAAAATATATTTAATTATTGCTGAATTGGGTCTAGATTACCCTATCATTTCTTAACCAATCAGTCATTGACTTTTTATAGTAATATATATGAATTTATTATACATTTGCTTATGCTTTGAAAACACTTAGCCAATTGATTTGAAAATTATAAAATTTGATTATATTATAAAATTATAATTATAATTATAATTATAAAGTTTGTTTGGTGCCTGCAGAGCGAACATTGTTAGGTCAGTAGATGAAGTGTAGATGAAAACGAGACTGCCCATTTCCCAACGGAGTTTGTTAATTCACTGGACTTGTAAAGGCTGCTGCCACATATTTTACAAATAAAAATTATTCGCCAACTATGCAAAGCAGGGCTGTCCAGACCAGATGCTATCGCGGGCCAATACAAATTGTTGTACAGATTGGAGGGCTGCAAAAACAAATACATATATTCAAAGTTGTTATCATAAATACATTATAACATTATAAATACGGTTATAATGTTAAATTTATTTTTAGTGCAAAAATTAAGATCATGTCAGCAATTTTTTTTTGTACTGATGTTGTATGGTGTACACTCCTTCCGCCGGGCCTTAATGTTAACAAGGTTATAATGTATTATGCAACGTTTATGTAAAACTGTTTACAAAAAGATTTATGGGCAATGAATGCAACATCTCTTCAAAAACATTTCTTCAAGAATTCAACAAATGTCATTCTAAAACCATTATATTCACCTGAATCAGCACCATGTGACTACTATGTTATCCCTATGCTCAAAAGACCGTTATCAATCTTTGTAAAAATAATATTTATAATATTGCGTTGAATATAGATTGGTTTTCTGTTGAATCATACTAATAAAATACTGTAGAAGCCTTTCTATGAAAGCAGCATGCACTGTCGTGACATTTTATAGGCGTATTTACACACCATACAACCTCTATATATGAAATTTTTGATTAACATATTGTGTGCAAGTCTGTATTATATATATTCCTGAAAAATATTATAATAGATAAGAATTATAATTTGTTTATAAATTAGTATGTATGTAATATGAACAATTATAATTGAGTAACATATAGTGTTAAGTCAAGGCTGTCTAGACCAAATGCGATCACAGATCAATACAAATCAGTAAACAGATTGGATGACCGCAGAAACAAATACATATGTTCATAGTTGTGTTCGACAAAAATAAAAATATGGTTATATTAATAAATTCAGTTTATTAATTTATCAATTTAAATTCATTTATTTAGCATACCATAAAAATAAAATAATGTGGTTTAAAAACATCTCGCGGGCCGCACAAACATTAGCCGCGGGCCGCATTTGGCCCGTGGACCATACTTTGGACAGCCCTTATGTAAAGTGTGTACGGTAAAGTATGTATGGTAAAGTATGTATGGTAAAGTATGTATGGTAAAGTATGTATGGTAAAGTATGTATGGTAAAGTATGTATGGTAAAGTATGTATGGTAAAGTATGTATGGTAAAGTATGTATGTAAAGTTATATCGGTCGACCATAAAATATATTTATTTATCCATCGAAGAACAAAATCAAAACTACAAATATAATACTTATTTTAGTTTTATAATAAATGAAGACCTTAAAAATATTGAAGTTCAGTGCGCTTGTGTAGGAAAAATATATTATCTTGGTTCAGAAATATATCTGAAATGGGTTTAGGACCATCTCTCAGATATGTTGTTATGTACAAACTTAGATGAAACATAATTTTACTCCTACTAGCATAGTGACGCAACTGCCAGCCATTTAGTTACGTTATAAATATTTTTTCGGCACTTATAGTACCAGTATTTTGAATTACTAATAATAGTTGGTTGTACATATATAACACGGTGAACAATAATTTTCTATTTAATTCCACACTCTGTCACGCAATTTTAATACAACTATTATGGTATGATATTTGAATTTTATTATAAACTAATAGGAACAATTAGTTATTAAAATTTTCATTTTCGTTTTTTTCGTGGTAACTCATCAACTCATATTCTCATCGGAATTATTAACTAAATGTTTAAACCCAAATTAAACTGAGAATCTCATATTTTATAACATATGATTGCAATTCGACTGCTATTTCATTTATAGATTTTTGTTTTAAAGTCGATCTTCGATTACATATTGAATATTGGAGATGTTCAATGCATGTATTGGAAAAATCCTCTTGTTAAGGCACTAATTTAATAAATTGGCTATTTTGTCAGCAAAGGATCATCCCTTAGTAGATGTGAAAATTTAATTTTATTATAATTTTATTATTATTTTCTGAAACCCTCCTTTCGGTTTATTTTTCCCCATGTCTGCAGTTAACTACCATATTTATTTTACTATACAAACCGATACAACAAATACTAATCCATTAACCACTTATATAAAAATAATATTTGAACAGTTTTTTAATAATATATTAATTGGTATACTATAATTAATAACACAATATTTTTAGATTTAATTGAGCGATAAATTTACAAATATATCTATAAATACCAAGTAATTAAAACTTTGTCATAAATTGTAAATTGTAAGGATTATTAATAAATTCGCACCATACATTTTTGCACACGTCATAACACTAAGTAAATATATATAATGAAAATACTATGTATGTAAAAAAATATTTCTATAATAAATTTTGATTAACGTACAAAAATTAATTAAGCTTAATACATGTATTTTAATCTAAAATGAACTTATGAGAATAATATTTAATTCTTATTTGTGTACTGATACTTTTGGCGTAAAGTTTCCGATAATTAAAAATAAAATCAAGTATTGAAATTAACTTATATCAGATAAAAAATAAAAAAAATTCTAATGCACTATTATTAAATTTGTTTTTTTCTTCAGTTTATATTTTACAATCAGCTACTTGCTGTTATTAACATACAGTCAAAAACATAGAAATATATTTCTATGTTATTGACCAAGCACTAAGTTCATCAAATGTTACAATTCGAAAAAGTTAGAAACGAAGCTGCTGCTAAATATTTGAACATATTTAAATTTAAGTCAACAGCCTTTTTTCTCAACAATTTCTTGCATAAAATATGCTTAATATGTTCCCTAAATTTGAAGGCATGTTAGTTGAGTTAATAGATCATTTTCATTTAAAATCCGTTTAGACGTACGTAATTAAGTAAATAGTAGTTCCAATTATTCAAGTAAGTACCTAATCGCGTCTTAAAACCTAATATATTTGTTTAAGTTTGCTATTAATATCTAAACTATAACTATTAATTATTACTAATTATTAAGGAAATTAAGTGCTTCGATTTAAATGTGGTTTTTACGTTTGTAATTTTTATGAGAGACTGCAATTAACAGTGGAAGCATTCAAAGCTCCTGTTTTTTCATAGGCTCCATCTCGCATGCATCATCTGAATCTTCAGTGCCTTTGGATAAACAAGGAAAATCAAACATACGTTCACCTTTACCAAACACTTCACCCTCTTCAATGGTTTTCGGTAAAGTGCTGCAAATGGAAAGAAGATTATTTAAAAAAAATTATTTCATTCAAATATTGATTGAATTTTACCGGTTTAATGTTTCGGGCAAAAGTAGGCAAACATATGAACCACAGAAAAATAGTACTCCTAAAATGATGGACGGAGCTGCTTTAAAGAACGTCCCTAAGTACAAAATATATGGTGCTAGAAAAGAAGCAGCAAAACCAGCTACATGCACTGCAGCCACACCTTGACCACGTACACACGTTGGTATCAATTCCGTAGCATATTGAGATCCAGATTCATAAGATATAGCTACACCAAAACGTGCCGCTACAGTCAGACTTGCCAAGAGTAATGCATTATGATTATTTTGTTGGTATGCAATAGCAATACCAGCTGCAGACGTAAACAGTCCACCTACAAGCAACGAACCAGCTGCCATTCCCTTACGACCGATTCGGTCTTGCAATAAGATAACCATTATACTCGAAGGCAACACAGCAAAGGCACTGACTGAGAACATTACGAAAGGAGATATACCCATGCCTTCCACATTACGGGAGACTGCATCATAACAAAGCGTTATAACCATCCTATGTACACACACATATGTATAAAAGAAGAAATTATATGATATATTTATGTACACAAATATTGGGATTAATAACTTACGATTTGAAAAAAAGTATGAGAGTATGTTTTCGCATTCTTGGTGTGCGAAACATATCAAATAGCGTAGAATGTTTCTGATCAACACCGCCTAGTTTCATACGCTGTTTATCACAATGTTTACGAAATTCTTCGAACTCAGCTGGGTTTACTTTGCGTCCATTAAATCGTGCCACTCGTTTCAAACGCTTGATAGCACCATCTAAATCATTGCGAGTTACTAACCACTGTGCACTTTCCTGCACTACAAAATAGTAAAATGCAACTGAAAGAATGGGTATGGATGTGCAGGCTAAGTAATATTGCCAGTGACCAGCCAATACCGCTAGCCAAGGTGTAAATACAAGACCGATGGTGTAGAAAATACCTACGGATATATTAAGACCCAGCGTTCGCATTGATGGACGGATGTATTCTAATACTACAAAATATAAATAAAAATAAAATTTCATCAAAATGAGTATTGAAAATTTTAATGGCTCGCATAAAAACTTACCAAGAATATACATTAGATAGAAATTTGTGTCTGCAGCTAAACCAGACACAAAACGACAAAACGAGAACGTGGTAACGTTTGTAGTAAAAATTGTAGCAAAATCCCCTAAGAAACCGGACAGATTAGATAATATCAAAGCTGGTAGCCTTCCGATTTTATCTGATAATAGTCCATAAAGTAAGGTTCCAACTACGGAACCAATAAAAAATAATGATTGTCCCACTCGGGCTTTGTATGCTGAATCACAAACCCAATTCAACTATTAAAAAATTTTAAAAGCAATCAAATATTTTTAATATTTCTTTTCTCAATTAATATAGTATACCTCAGTGTTCATGCTCTTATAACCGTAATCGTATTTGTAGATCCAACGTTCACATTTTTCACTGCTCGGTGTAATAGTCGTGCCATTTATTTCCAGACGTGTACAGGAAGGACTCGGATATTTAGCATAAATAGCTGCTATTTCATCGAAAGTTTTGTTAGCAAATTGTTCGTGGTAGCACCAATGATCGGGCACAAAACTAATCACAGTTTGAGTAAAATAGTGCATCGATACGATGACATTCACAATACCAAAGAAACCTAATAGAAGTATTTGATAGCGGCCCATGTCACCACATTTAGCTAGTATCTGATCGAAATCCATGGCAGTGGTTGATGATATGGACGATTAATGGAAGCCAAATACGATACAAACCACAGCTGAGTGTGGTATGATGCGTCACTAAATCGAAAACACCAAACAGCTTGCTGATTAATAGACTCAATTGTACAAATAAACTATTTAGTATGGCAAGTCTAGTTCTGTCTCGTGGGGTGATTGATAGCTGGAAATAAAATATGAAAAAAGGTTTGAAATTAGTACTCACGAAGCATTGATCTTATACAAAAACTAAAAGAAAATATTAAAAAGTTTGTACGTGCTCCATATGCATCCATATGCATCCATATCCATAAATGAACATGTAATAATAATCTATAACAAAATTTTTATATTTTTTCCGTTAATATTTAGAAATAAATACATTTTATTTTTTTCTAATTTATTTTTTTATTAATTTTTTTATGTGGTAATCTATATCTCCCTTAGTCAGTGTTTTGGAAAAAAAATAAAAAAAATGTAATTTTAGCTGTGGCGTTTATATTACGATTGGCTCGGATGTTCTTTTAATTAATTTATTAATTAATTAGCTATATTAAGCAGCTTTCTCTGTCACCGACGATACGCCTACATCTCTGTATATGTTGATATTTTTTTTAAACCGTATCACACCTATCACCATCCTTAAGATCTTCGATAATTTTCTCTACACGATTGTATTTTCAATATCTGATTTCAAATTCTTAGTTTCCCACATTTGTATCCCATAATCATATACAGTAAAGTTAAGTGTTCAAGTAGTAGCTGCAATGATAAATCCATATGACTATGCTGTGCTTTTTTTTGCCGAGATTTTTTTATGTTCGAGGTTAAAAAACTCAAGACTAATATATTAATAAATATTATATCTTATATATATCTTATTATTATATCTTATATATACATTAAAAAATATTTTATAAATATCATATCTTTAATAAAGTAAATAAAATAAATAAAATCAATACAACCCTTTAGAAGATTACAATACCGTAAACATTGATTAATGGATATTGTTTCAATGAAATATATATTTATTTATATTTTCTACAATGTAATTATTCCCAAATATGCATAAACAATTTCCTTCTAAAACGCAAATCTTTATATGAAACGTGTCTAAATTTTTAAAATTGCAACAACAGCGAGAGTATCTTTAATTCTTTAAATGGGAGAACATGTATCCAAGACTATCAGAGTTATTTTCATTAGAACAATTCTACGAAAATAAATGAGTTTTGTATGAAAAACAATATTCACTGTCAGTTGTGACCCTCACAGATTTTTTGTTAGGTGGTTTACCTGTGTAAATGTTGTGACCCTGTTAGAAGATGTATTTAATAGATAATAGCTGTGTAACTGATATTTTATCATTTTGTATTATAAAATAATGAATTTAACAAAAAAAAGGTAATATGGTAAGTTACTTTATTTTATTCAATAATAAAGAATTCAAAATCAGTTTATACGGTTTATATTTTTTTATCACCTATTCTGTTGAAATTATATAAACTTAACTTAAGACATGGGATTGTTATAGTAATATAAATTTTACTACCGGCTGCAATTTTAAACTCTTACAAAATCATAGATTATTGTCAGCCTTATGCCATAATAAAGAAAACGTGAATATAGATGATGTGGGCTTATCTCACAGAATTCTTAAACAGAATAAAAATCTTTAGTTCACATTCTTTTTCATTGCGAAAAATGCTAAATTGACAGACATGGTTCCCATTACAATAATACAAACCAAATCAAATTTGACAAAGTATGAATTCAAGTCTTCATAATTGTATTATAAAAAATTATTTACGAATAATTACATATAAGAAATATTTCCAAGGACTGTTGTTGATAGGTACTTAGCAGCTATATAGTCAGCCAAGACCTCAATTACTTTAAAAATAAAATTTTGTGAAATTCATTGCTACTCCACAAACTTTTAGCTTAAAAAGAGGTTACCTAAATTACCGAGAAAATTTATCATAAGCTCATATATAAATTTTTTATATTTGGTTAATATAAAATATTAACTAAAAAAATACTATCATGTGTGCGGATATCATTATTATAACTGAAACATTGCAATTTTCTTAGGCGCCAACAAAATACGTTACATACAAAGAAACAGACAAAGGGACACCTTAGGGATCCGAATTCAAGGCACTTGCGAAGCTGAGTCCTGCAATGAACTCATTCAGAATGCGGAATAAATAAAAGAAGAAAATTCAGAATTATTTGGTTTCATCATTTTTAGTATAAAAAATATTGTTTAAAATATTAAACTTTTATTATTATAGATTGTAATTTATCTGTTTTAATTATTATTTTATTGAAAAGTATAATAAAATAATTTCTACTTAATAGTTTTTCACACGAAAGAGAAAAGCATTTAGATTTAATCATACAAATATAATTAAATTAATTGCTAATTGAGTTTGTGAGTCTAATTTATTTGCACTTTCTAATTGAAACATATTAATTTATTTATAAGAATATTATTAACACCTTTTTAAGCACACAAATCCCAATTAATTGGTCAGACGTGCTAAATATTCCCGTCCTCGGTGGCGTATGCGGAACAATAACGAACTAAGCACGCAGCAACACAAAACTGAAAACTATTCGAATGATTTTGTTTGGCACAGCTGAGAAATAATTTTTTATTGTTATTTCTTAATGAAAGAGCCCCACTGCCAGTGGAACGAGAGCGCAGCAACAAGTTTAAGAGAGAATTTCTTTATATTTTAAGAGTAAAACTGACACAAAATCCAATCAAATTTGTTTTATTGGGAGTTAAATTGCTTTCACTTTCAAGAGTTTTGAAATTGTCGATACATTGTTTCAGCTTTAATGCAGGAAATCTTTATTAATAATTAAACAATAATTGTATTTTAATAATTATTATTTTTTTTTTAAGTTTAATTTAAATTAATGTTGATATTATAATGCATTGACTACTACTTCCACGTATTAGTAGTTAATCATCAAATTTAGCTCCAGCTAAAATAGAATTGGCTGCAGAAGAGAATACGTCATTTATACTTCATATTAAGAAATATACATTTTATGACATTTCAAAACTTTAAGACTTTCATTAAACAAATGTATAAAATACTATACAATAAAATTGATTAAGCCTATGACCATCCATAGGCTAGACAACACAACTAGATAACAAATAGCTAGCAACTAGACAACACATCATTCCATTTTATGAACTTTTCTTTTTTTCAAGTTCTTATTCTTCTAATTATAAAGAATACCTACGACTCTATTCACAAAATGATATATAAGAAACAAAAAATGTTACAAATGATTTTCTGTTGAGATCAATATCCAGCTTTCCTTCTATCTTTTTAGAAATCTCTTTGACATCGACTTCCTGCTTCCAATTCATCCCGGATAGTTACATTTTTGACTTTCGGATCTTATAAACATCTGCTTTAGCTCTAATATTGTTGTTGATTTAAAGATCTATTATAACTTTTCTCGCAATTGTAAACTGTAATATTAGTGTTGGTCTTTCTATTGTATCATATATATAATACGTATCCAATAGTCCTTCACAATGTTCATTGTAATCTCTTTAAACCGAATGAAGTGAAAAAATTATCTCCTCACTAATCCGCATGCAATATATTTTTATTTTTTCCTTTATTTTATTTTATTTTATTTTATTTTATTTTATTTTATTTTATTTTATTTAATGGATGTTTTTGTATAATCTTTTGATAAATAGAATTTGATTATAAAATTCAAAATTAATAAATAATATCTCATCCTATGAACAGATACAATCAATTTATTATTTAATAACTTTATAACATTTAAGTGATACTTTAAAATGTTATTGATCGAACAAACTAAATCTTTAATTTTATGATTTTTGAAGACAATATATTTTCTGCAGTTTATTCAGGAATATCATTTTGAAAAGTATGAAATCAAAATTTACAGTTTATCTCTAAACATGCAACTTAAAAATTTTTAACATTTTATTCTTTAATTTTATTAAATATTTCATCCTTTATGGGGTATGATACACTAAAATTTACTATTTCATATTTAATCATTACTTTTATAATTCAGTATTCTCAAGAAAAATTCATGATCTGTCACCCACTGTTTTTGACATATTTGCAGTGAATGCATTCCCAAATATGAATGGAAATTCGAAAAATTATCACTTAATAATTTTGAATACCAATAAGAGAGATAAAACACATAATACGCCTTCAATGGCACCTGTACTCTTTTCAATTGAATTGCTGAACCTTTAAGAAGCCGATTTCGGTTCAATAACTTATTTGTTTTAAAATAATCTTAGATCAATAAAATTAAATAGACCAAGAAGTAGCAGAACTAGTTAATTTTTTCCCAACATATCTATAAACATATTTATATCCATTGGCATTGTTTAATTTCTTAAAAAATGCACATACTCGTAAAATAGGAAAATTAAAAAAAAAAAAATATTGAAGAATATATTATTTGATAGCAAAATAATTTTTTTTTTTAATATATTATTGTTACTAAATATAAAGTTAATTTTTTACTTAGAAAAGAAATTTATAATTATTAAAAAAGTGGACTGATTTTTCTTAAATTTTACAAGAAGGCATTTTCTGCCTGTCTTAATTATTTTAATATATGAAATTGAGTTTTTGGGATTGTAATCAAAATAAAAAATATATTTGATTTAAACAAGTATTCATTAATACTAGATAAAGATTTATTTTATAAAACTGAAATTTGACTAATAAGTCACTTAAGATACCAATGCAGATATTTAACAATCCAGAAAATTATTTCTTCCACAAAAAATTTATTTAGTCAAATCTTTTCTATTGCGTTTCAAATACTTTTACATTGAAATAGTTTTTAAAATTTTAACGTATCCGTTGTCAACCGTCTGCCACTGATAAATTTTTGCAGATAACTAAATAATATTCGAAATACTCAACAGTAAATGCAATAAACATTTATTAATTTATTACAGAAGTGTGAAACGAAGAAAGACACTTTGTTACTCTAAAAAAATCATATCACTAGCATATGTTAAGTAAGTTCAATTAGGAAATCTATCTTCAACCTCACATAAAAAATTCTTAGAATTTCCATGTTAAGTATGAGTCTAAATATGAGTCTTGCTTTACCAGCTTTCCAGTAACGTTGCCATGG